CACTCACTCACAGAGACACACTCACTTACACACTCACTCACAGAGATTCACTCACTCACAGAGACGCACTCACTCACAGAGATACACTCACACACACTCACTCACAGAGATTCACTCACTTACGCACTCACTCACAGAGACACACTCACTCACAGAGCATCACTCACTTACGCACTCACTCACAGAGACACACTCACTCACAGAGATACACTCACACACACTCACTCACAGAGACACACTCACTCACACACTCACTCACAGAGATTCACTCACTTACACATTCACTCACAGAAGGCACTCACACATACAGAAACAGACAGATGCACACACACACACACACACACACACACACACACACAATCACACCCAATTAATGTAAACTCACAGTCTCACACACACAGCACTGTTAGGGATCAAAATGTATAATTAAGAATGGTGTGAAGGATGTTGAAAAAGTTGGAATGTATTGAATATTTTCTGGGTTGAAATTGGAATTGTGTTCAGCGGTCTGTGGGCTGTGACCCACCCACTAATGACCAAAGTCAAAGTTACATTTGGGATCAGAGCTCAGTTACTGATCAGCAGTTACCACTTGATTTAACAATATGTTTTGTTGATAATAAACAGATTATTTCAAGTTTATGAAAGAACCTCACCGATACAAAAATTGGTGGAGTTGTGGATAATGTAGAAGGTTGTCAAAGGATATAGCAGGATATAGATCTGTTGCAGATATGGGCAGAGAAATTGCAGATGGTGTTTAATCCAGTAAATGTGAGGAGCTGCACTATGGGAAATCAAATGTTAAGGAAAAGTACACAGTTAATGGTAGGACCCTGCACAGCATTGATTTACAGAAGGATCTTGGGTTTCAAGTCCATAGCTCCCCGAAAGTAGCCACACAAGTAGATAGGGTGGCAAAGAAGGCATATGGCAAGCTTGTCTTTATTGGTCAGGGAAGTGAGTACAAGAGTCAGGGTGTCATGCTGCAGCTTTATAAGGCTTTGGTTAGGCCACACTTATTGTGTTATATTCTGGTCGCCACATTACAGGGAGAATGTGGAGGTGTTGGAGAGGGTACAGAAGAGATTTACCAGGACGCTGCCTGGATTAGAGGGTATGAGCTATAAGGAGAGGCTAGAAAAACTCACGTTGCTTTCTCTGGAGTGGCGGAGGCTGAGGGGAGGTTGATAGAAGTCTATAAAATTATGAGATGCATAGATAGGGTTGATGGTCAAAATCTTTTTTTCCCAGAATTGAAATGTCTAATACTCGGGGGAATGTATTTAAGGTGAGAGGGGAAAGTTCAAAAGATAAATGAGGGGCAGGTTTATTACACAGAAAGTGGTAGGAGCGTGGAACGCACTGCCAGGGGTGATGGTGGAGGCAGATACGATAGGGGCATTTAAGGGACTTTTAGATAAGCACATGAATATGCAAGAAATGGAGGGATGTGGACCAATGGAAGGCAGAAGAGACTAGTTTTGTTTGGTATCATGGCCATTCCTGTGCTGCACAGTTTAATGTTTAACCTGGTTGGCATTTCTTTTATTTTGACAGTAATTGTAAAGAAAAGCAACAGCTATTTTAGAAATTAAATCAACATTTGCATCATTTGTGGTGAGGCTGGTGCAGGAGGTTATCATTGCATTTGTCCCATTAAAGTCGTTACCACAAGTGCACATACACATGTACACTCACACACATGCACTCACCAGCAGGCACAGAATCTCACACACATACACGCACACGTTGAGAGGGAGCTACGTCCTGCAGCCAACTGTGTCACTTTTAACGAGTGCAAAATGGGATGATGAAATTGGGTTAACAAATAAAATTATAATGCAGTCCTTTGCTCTCTTGACGATGAACATTGACTCATAACATCAATCATTTTATTTAATCTTCACATCATCCGGATGCCTGAAATGCTGGAATAAAATGTCATCTTTGACTGGGCCTTCCAGCACGTTTTAGATAAAGGGATCTCAAAGGTTGATTGGCTACACAATGTGCTGGCTAGTGATTGCTTCAAAACTGTGTGTAAATCTGACATGCTGAATGAAGATCAGCAAACAGAAAAATGGACTCAGATGCTACATGAACCCGTGCCTGTCACATCTGAAACTCAGAGTCCACCCTATGACACGGATACTGAGCTAACGGCTGGGTGGGTCACTTTCTATCAATGATCCAAAGTCTGAACTTTGCCGTGGCACTGACATACCAAAGGTAATAAGTGCATTGAGATAATGGTGGGGGGGGCAGCGAGTGCAGCGTGTGTGAGCTGGATCTCAGATCACAGCCCTCTGAAAGTTGAAATGGACACACTGAAGGACAGACTTGATATGCTGCAGAAAAGAGGCCATTCGGCCCATCACCTCCACGCTAGTTCACAGAGCTTGACTTTGTGAGATCTTAGAGATTTTGATAGTGCCAATCTCTCACTATTTCCCTGAAACCCTGCTCATTGTTTCTATTTAAATAATCATGTGACATCCTCTTAAATACCTCAATAAAACCTGCCTCCACAGCGCATTCCAGGCTTGAACCACGCGTATTAAAATTTTATTTTAAAAATAACTCTTTTTATATGTAGTACTTTTTTTCTCACCACATGTTTGCTCTTTTGCAAAATACTTTATATCAGCGGCCTCTCATTCTTGACCCTTTTATGAGCGCAAACAGTTTCTCCCTATCTACTCTGTGCAGATCCCTCAGGATGTTGAAAACAACTATCCATTCTGCATTCAGCCTTTTCCTCTCCAAGATAAACAGTCCTAACATCTCCAATCTACCCTCGGGACTGAAGTTTCTCATTGCTGGAACTACACTTGTAAATCTTTTCTCACTCTCTCCAATGCATTCCTAAAGTGTGTCAACAAGAACTATACTCCAGCTTTAATCCAGCCAGAGACCTCTCTATTGGGCTGGCATGTTGGTTAGCACTGCTGCCTCACAGCACTAGGGACCCAGGTTCAATTCCACCCTCAGGTAGCTGTCTGTGTGGAGTTTGCACGTTCTCCCCATATCTGCATGGGTTTCCTCCCACAGTCCAAAGGTGTGCAGGTTAGGTAGATGAGCTATGAAAAATGTAGGGTTACAGGAATTGGGTAGGGCATTAGGTCTGCTCTTTGGATGGACCAAATGGCTTGTTTCCACACCGTAGGGATTCTATGACCTTCAGCAAAACCTCTCTGCCCTTTTAATGCAGCCCAGAATATCGCACGCTGCATTAACAGTACTCTCTACCTGTCCTGCCACAATTAGTGACTTGTGTAAGTATAGTTATTTTCTTTTATTTCACTGATTGGGTGATCTCCAACTGGTATATTATCATCCATCCTATTGTCTCCCTAACTGTCACTCTCTATCTCTCTCTGTGCTCCAGCTCTACCTCTCCACTCACACCCACTCCCCCGTCTTCAACATAAATACCACCTTATCCCAGCTTTTGTCAGTTCTGACGAAGGGTCACTGGACTCAAAAATTTTAACTCTGTTTCTCTCTCCACAAACGCTGCCAGACCTGCTGAGTTTCTCCGCCAATTACTGATTTTGTTGCAGATTTCCAGCATCCCCATTACTTTATTTTCTTATCCTTTATTTGATACTCTCTCTGCATGCTCTTTGGGCCAACTTCTCTGCATCGGATTTCATCTGCCAGCTGTCTACATACTCTACCAGTTTGTCAAAGTCCTCTTGAAGTTCTATATTGTCCTCCTCACAATTTACAAAGACCTGAGTTTTGTGTCATCTGCAAACTTTGAAATTGTCCCACTCACCAAAGCCAGTCCTTCCATCAAAATCTCACCACCTTAAGTTTAAACTTCACATTCTGGATTTCAAACTCTTCCCTGATCTCACCTCTACTCTATCTCCATAACATCCTCCAGTCTCCAAATCCTCAAAGATCTCTACATTCCTCCAATTCTAGCATCTCGATTAACCCAATTTGATTCAAACCATCAATGATGTTTGTGTCTGTCTCTCAGCCTCGAATATACACCACGACCCAATCTCTACAGCCCTCTGTGGTAAAGAATTGCACAGGTTCAGTACCCTTTGAGAGAAGAAATTTCTCATCTCTGTCTTAAATGTGTGACCCTTTATTCTGAGACCTTCTGGTCCTAGATTCTCCCACAAGGAGAAACCACCTTTCCACAACTACCCTGTCAAGCCCCCTGAGAAAATCATCTATGTTTCAATAACGTTACCTCTCATTTTTCTAAACTCCAATGAGAACAAGAGTGGAAAGATTTAAAAGGGACCTGGGGGACAACTCTTTGACACAGAGGATGGAATGAGCTGCTAGAGGAAGAGGTAGATGCAGGTACAACATTTAAAAGACGTTTGGACAGGCACATGAATAGGAAAGGTTTAGTGGGATATGGACCAAACACAGGCAGGTCCTTTCCTTTATTCATTCGCGGGATGAGGGCATCGCTGGTGAGGCAGCATTTATTGCCCATCTCTAATTGCCCAGAGGGCAGCTCAGAGTCAACCACATTGCTGTGGGTCTGGAATCACAGGTAGGTCAGACCAGGTAAGGGCAGCAGTTTCCTTCCCTAAAGGACATTAATGAGCCTAGTGGAACTAGTTTAGTTTGCGAAACTTGGTCAGCATGGACAAGTTGGACTGAAGGGTCTGTTTCCGTGCTGTATGACTCTATCCTCATGAGACAGTCCCTTCATACCTGGTATCAACTCAGTGAACCTGCTCTGGACTGCCTCCAGTTCTAGTATCTCTTTCCTTAGATACAGGGACCAAAACCGCTCACAATATTCCAGCTGTGGAATGACCAGTACAGTCTGTACAGTTTTAGCAAAACCTCCCTATTCCGACAGGTTCAATCTTGAGGCCTTACCGTGGATGAAGAAACCTTGGTCGCCCCATGTCAGGAACACATCACCAAGCACCGAGAACAGGAGAGCGACCAGGACTTTCTTGGCGTAGGGTCGATGTACCCCCCGGCTGATGCTGTGTGCCAACACGAAGAAACACAGGCATAGAACGGGCAGACATTTAATCAGCGCACTGAACCACGATGGGTTAGAGGTGGGAAGCCACAGCACAAAGTAAATGCAGGAGGTTTTCAAAAAGGGGATCAGCTTCATGCCAACACTTTTCATCTGTGAAATGAGACGGGAAGGAGATACAAAACGTTGAGTCAAATAGAAAACATGTCTTTATGCTGCGCTTGCTGACCCCTCCTCCAAATGAGGGCCTGTTTTATTCTGTACCCAATATTTTCACGCACCCCCACCCCCCCTCTCTCCGAGCCCCTCTGCCCACTCTCGCCCAGTGTATGGTTCTTTACAACATAGTCGGGTGGCTCAGTGGTTAGCACAGCTGCCTCACAGCGCCAGAGACTGGTTCGATTCCACCCTCGGGCAACTGTGTGGAGTTTGCACGTTCTCCCTGTGTCTGTGTGGGTTTCCTCCGGGTGCTCCGGTTTCCTCCCACAGTCCAAAGATGTGCAGGTCAGGGTGGCTTGGCCATGGGAAATTACCCAAATGTCCAGGGGTGGGCAGGTTAGGTGGTTTAGCCTTGGGAAATGCAGGGTTACAGGGGTAGGATTGAGGTGTAGGTCTGGGTGGATGCTCTTCAGAGGGTCAGTGTGGACTCGAAGGGCGAATGACCTGCTTCCACACTGTAGAGATTCTATGGTCATCGCTCCCCAGACTCCAGCACTTCGCCCCCTTTATCCACTGCGATCCAATGATGAGGCCGCTTTGTGGCCAAGACTGGAAAAGGGAACTGGTGACAGTCACTGGGTTAGCAATTCAAAAGCTCAGACTCATGCTGTGGAGTAACAGGTTCAAATCCCATGCCTGATAGAATTAAAGTACAACTGCTTAATAAAAATCTAATAATGAGAATTAGTCTGAGCAATGGCGAGTGTGACAGATATCTTTGATTGTCGGAAAAACCCATCTGGTTCACTAGTGTCCTTTAGGGAAGGAAATGGCCATCCTTACCTGGTCTGGCCTACATGTGACTCCAGTCCCGCAGCAATGTGGTTGACTCTTAACTGCCCTGGCAAGTCGCTGATTTGTTCCAAACTGCTGCAGAAAGGTCAAGCCAGATGGAGTGCAGCGGTTCAAGATGATGACTCAAAGCCATCTTCTCGAGGGTAATAAGGGTGGGGGGCAAACAGTTCGCTGTGTCAGCGATTCCTGCGTGCTGAGTAAGAACGGGGAAAGTGGTCATGGAGAGATTGCTTAGACGCAGGGCTGGTGTCTGTTTGCACCTCAGAGATGTTGGACCCTCAATCAGGATCCCTTTAAGGGGTTTGCTGGTGTGTGCAGGGCTCAGAACCTCACAAAGCACACATTCCAATTGACCTGCAGTTACTGGGGGATTTGACCTGTAGCAGAGTGTACGCACGCAATCTGCTTAAATGTTCCTGTAAGTACAAACAGGAAACTGCAGTTATTGAGGTGCCTGAACACTCTATGCCTGACAGAGTGAATGTGCTGGAGTGCGTCCAGGTTTGGCCAATTAAGCCTGGGTGACCTTGACTCCTCTGGGTCCTGGGGGAGCTGAACGAATAACACAGAGATCAGAGGAGGCCAGGGCAAATGCAGGTGCGTGGGGAATGGCACTGAGGCCGATTGCAGCTGGGTTTTCCTGGTGGGCTCCAGATAGGGTCAAGGGACAGGGTGAAGGGCTGGTGCTAGTGAACTTCTGTCCCTCACCATTCACTTATACAGACAAACTAAGCACACATCATGCACCCCCACTCAAAACACGCACATACCCACTCAGACACCCACAAACTCACACAGACACACACATGTACAGGCACAGTCACACAGACAGACACACACTCACTCACTCACAGTCACACACCCACACTCACCCACGCTCACTCATACACACTCTTACAGACACACACACGCACACACATACAGACACAATAACATGGACACACACATACACGCACACACACTCACCCACGCTCACTCATACACACTCACAGTCACCCACGCTCACTCATACACACTCTTACAGACACACACACACACACACACACATACAGACACAATCACATGGACACACACATACACTCACACACTCACACTCACCCACGCTCACTCATACACACTCTTACAGACACACACATGTACAAGCACAATCACATATACACTCAGAGACACAGACACACTCATTCACTCACTCATACACACTCATATAGACACAATCACACACAGTCACACACACTCATAGGCACACACACACACACCCGCACACGCATACGTACGGGCACTGTTATACACACAGGCACAATCTCTCACTCACACAGACACACAGAAACACACACACACACACACACACACACACACACACACAGAAACTGATAAGATAGGGGCAGCAGCTGGCCGTTCAGCCCTTCGAACCTATTCTGCTATTTAATATGATCATGGCTGATCACCCAACTCAACAGCCTGTTCCTGCATTTGCCCTGAATACTTTGATCCCTTTAGCCCTAAGAGCTATATTTAACTCCTTCTTGAAAACATTCTATGTTTGGTCTCAAGCGTTTTCTGTGGCAGAGAATTCCACAGGCTCCCCACTCTCTGGGTGAAGAGATTTCTCCCCATCTTAGTCCTAAATGGCCTACCCCGTTTTCTTACACTGTCACCCTGGTTCTGCATTCCTCAGTCATTGGGAACATCTTTCCTGCATTTAGTCTGACTAGTCTTATTAGGATTTCACAGCTTTCCATGAGAGATCCCCCTTCATTCTTCTGAACTACAGTGAATTTAATCCTAACTGATTCAATCTCACCTGCTATGTCAGTCTTTGCCATCCCAGCAATCAGTTTGGTAAACATTTACGGCACTCCCTCAAGAGCCAGAGCATTATTCCTCCGATGAGGAGGGCCAAACTGCACACAATATTCCAGGTGTGGTCTCACCAAGGCCCTGTACAATTGTAGCAAGATATCCGTGCTCCTGTACTCAAATCCTCAAAGGTTTTATTGGGTGCCTGCCAGCCACTTACTGTCGCAAACCTCTTCTTCTGCCTTCTGGAATCATGACCCATGATATCCATTTTCCTGTTTCACCCAGTCTCTCTTTCTCTCGCTCTCTCTCTCCCTCTCCTTCTCTCTGTTGTCTTTCGGAGGGCTTCCTGAGTTGATGCTGATATCTGTTCTGTTTGCGGACTTTCTCCTCCATTATCTCATGCTCACTGATAAATGTAACACCTCAGATAGTGGCTATATGCTGGCCTATCGATTACAGCTAATAATAGGCAGATGTAGCTACAAATAATTGACTCTATGGGTCAAAATCCAACCGTGTCACACCCACTGTGTCACTTCTACCTTCCTTTGTCTGAACAAGTTGTCTTTCACCAGTTTGGACTTCTGGACTTGAGGATGACAGCTCCACAAAAGATTTCTGCTCTCTCGATACCTTGTCTAAGATCTGAGTGGGAAGCACGCCAGGGTCAAAAGGTCATAGTTTCAGCTCCCATTTCCAGAGATGGAAAGACAAAATCTAGACTGACAATCCCCCAGAGGAGCCCTGAAGGACTGCCTCACTGTCCGAGGTACCTCAGTTTAGAAGCAATGTGTAACGGGGACCACATAGTCTTTAAGTGATGCAAAAAAGAAATCCCATGACCACTAATTTTAAAAAGAGCTGGGGCGATTCTGCCTGTCCAGTGTCCTCCACATGATTAATCCTTAGACCCCATACGTTGTCCACCTATTCCAACCCCAGCACCTCCACATCATGCATCATGATTGAATGTGTGTCTATTTGTGGGTTTTGAAGTGGTATAGTTTAAGTTGCATAGTAATAGATTAGAAATTCTTTTCTCTGCCTCTTGTTAAAGTTAAGTGTGTTCCAATTTTCTGTTAATAACAATACTTTTCAGGAGATAATAAGCAATATCTGGCTAAAACATTTGAAGTCTACTGCATATCATGTAGGGAGCTTCAAAGAATTCATGGAACCCCTGCAAGTGTGGAAGCAGGCCAACTGAGTTCATACCAAACCTCCAAAGATCATCCCACTCAGGCCCACCCTATCCCCACATTTCCCATGGTTGATCCACCCAGGCTGCATATCCTAGGACACTACAGGGCAAATTAGCACAGCCAATCCACCCCCCTATGCACCTTTGGACTGTGGGAGGAAACCGGACCACCCGGAGAAAACCCACGCAGACACAGGGAGAATGTGCAAACTCCACACAGACAGTCACCCAAGGGTGGGATCGAACCCAGATCCCTGGTGCTGTGAGGTAGCAGTGCTAACCACTGAGCCACTATTGGAACAACACCATCAAACTCCCGAAAACAATGAGTAAAGTATATCATCGCAACTAACCATAGGATTTTAGGACAAGGTTTACATTGCTTACTATTTGCTACAAAAGATTTCCCAAATGAATTTACAAGATTGCATCCATTTGCATTGATCTATGGATTCAAGATCCATTAAAAATTGATTTAGGAGATGTTTATAAGGCCTATAGAGTAATTCTCAATATTAAATTAGGTGTCTATGTATCTAGAGAGAACCACAGGAATGTTTAAAGTAGCTCAAATCCTTCACAGGCAAAGATTAATGATGGGCAGACAAACATAGAGACAACTTTTCAAACAGGGGACAAAGTGTTGGTGTCATTAACTTTACAAAGTGAACCTCTGAATTCGAGACTCAGTGAGCCATAAAAGGGAGTTAATAAAATGTCTTATCTGGTAGGTACTCCTGATTACAAGATGAATTATTATTTATATCATGCAAGCATGTTTAAGCGATATCATTGTAGGGTGGAAGAAAAGATAAGATTGAAAGAGTAGTGGGGTGGGGGGGTGCTGACAGAGACAGTGAGAACGAGGTTGAAAGAGATGTAGACAGTTCACAAAGTAAACCTGCTGCAGTCTGCCTAGCTCATACTGAAATATTTGGGTCCATTATGTAGATTTGGTAGACAGTGTAACTCATTATGCAGGACACACACACATATTAAAACATTTAAAAATGAAGACTCACAAAGGAGTTAACAATGAAAAACTCTAAAGGGTTCAGAAAAGATTTACAAGGATTGGAGGGTTTGAGCTACAGGGAGAGGCTGAATAGGCTGGGGCTATTTTCCCTGGAACATCAGAGTCTGAGGGGTGACCTTATAGAGGTTTATAAAATCATGAGGGGCATGAATAGGGTGAATAGTCAAGGTCTTTTTCCCAGGTTAGGGGAGTCCAAAACTAGAGGGGCATAGGTTTAAGGCGAGAGGGGAAACATTTAAAAGGGAGTTAAGGGGTAACTTTTTCACTCAGAGCATGGTGCTTGTATGAAATGAGCTGCCCAAGGAAGTAGTGGAGGCTGGTATAATTACAACATTTAAGGGACATCTGGATGGGTATATGACTAGGAAGGGTTTAGGGGGATATGGACCAAATGCTGGCAAATGGGCCTAGATTAATTTAGGATATCTATTCGGCATGGACAAGTTGGACTGAAGGCTCTGTTTCCACGCTGTACAGCTCTATGACTCTATGACTCTACATTGAGCAAGTAGAGGATATTCCTAAACGGAGGTGACACACAGATGTTATTAATTAAATTAGTATTCAGTACAGCCAACAAAAAAAACTACAAACAAGAGTTTAATCACTATAAAAGAGGCCTCAAAAGACAGAACAACAATATAACTAAGCGTGGAAATAAAATGTTAGTTACAGGAGAAATACTGGAACCATCCAACAGAAAGTATGGTAAAGGTCCTTGAAATAAGTCCATGGAGGCCGGTATCCCATCACCCAGTCACCCTATATTTACACATGCTCCATACACAGACTCTGACCAGCTAGCTCAGAGCTAGGCCCTAGACTGAGGAGACTCTCTGAATCTCCTGTTTATATTTGTCAGCCAGGGCTCCCTGATTGAGCCCGGTTAGCAACACTAATCAGGGAACTCATATTCTGTGAGATCCACCTGGTTGACCTCGGTCTGGTCACTACAATCCTTATCACATGAACATTGACTGACAGAAACAAGACTCAGTCAGTCATCATAGAGAAATGAAACTGACAAATGTTTAACAATTTCTTTTAAGAGTGAAAGATTAAGGGCGAGATGAAAGAAGTATTAAAAAAAATTAGATAACAGCTCACAACTTCAGAAAGGAAACTTCTCTCAAAAATTAAGAAATAATGTTAAATGATACAGTACCACATGTAATTTGAAGCAACTTATACAGAGGATTGATATAAACACCTGCAAAACTGGTGGGGTTCTAGTAGCATAAAAACAAACACCTTTCACTGAAATTTCAGAAATAGTGCAAGGCTGTGAGACTAGTTTAGTTTGGGATTATGTTTGGCATGGACTGGTTGGACCGAAGGATCTGTGCCCATGCTGTATGACTCTATGACTCTATGATTCGAATTATAAATCCTCAGGTAATATAGTTCTCAAAAGGTATTTTCTTTCATCAGAGAAGATTGTACTCGCTCTGGGTTTTAAGGGAAAACTTTAAGTGTTGATGGATATTGTATAGTAGGCTATTCTTAGATAATTCCAAATTTTCTTAGCCATTCCTGAGTCATCTTAAATAACATCAAACTGGATTCTATTAGCTTTTGGTATTACATATTTCGATAGATTTTGTCACTTATTCACTTAATGTGTACTGTTTGTTTATTTCTGTTAATAAAATTGTAAAATGAGCAAATTGTCTCATTTAAGTTTTTTTCTCTGTTACAACTAAAATGAAACTTAATATCTTATACGCTTCCTTAAGTGGGGCAGTGTAGAAAAATCCCAGATCCATAAAATATCTGGGAGGTTTACGGCATATTTAAAATGAATCAGGATATTCAGAGGACAGTGCCAATGTGGGGCAGCTCCTTCTCCTAGAATTATAGAATCCGTACAGTGTGGAAGCACACCGTTCAAATTGAATTAACACTGACCCTCCAAATACCATCCCACCCAGATGACCCCCCCACCCTATCTCTGCAGAATTTAGACAACCCATCTGGTTTAGAAACTAACATGAGCAGCAAACTCTAACAGCTTTGCTTAGATTCTAGTTAGATACATTTGCTTTTGTAGCATGGACTGAACCTCTGTTTGGACCTGAGATCAATTCTCTGGGCTTAATTCATAATGATCTTGTTTTATCAGAACTGAATCGCCCAAATCCACATCGTGCCTGGCTACCATACTACATCCTGGTGGATCTCTACAGATTTCCTTGAATTTCTCAGTAATCCTTCCAGATCTTCTGAGTATGGAAACGCATTGTCTAACTGATCCGATTTAAAGCTTTTTTAAAGGTGCTAATCTAGATCCTGCATGTTTTTCTGATCATTTCTGTCTGCTGAGTTCAAGCTAGTCATTTTCATTAATAATTAAAAGTTTTGGGTTTGTGATATTAACGTAGCCCTCCTACAGGAGGAGTGGCACGGTGGCCTCACAGCAACATGGACCTGGGTTCAAATTCAACCTCGGGTGACTGTCTGTGTGTGGAGTTTGCACATTCTCCCTGTGTCTGTGTGGGTTTCCTCTGGGTGCTCCAATTTCCTCCCACAGTCCAAAGATGTACAGGTTAGGTAGATTGGCCATGCTAAATTGCTCTATAGTGTCTAAGGATGTGACGGCTAGATGGGTTAGCCATGGGAAATGCAAAGTTGTCTGGGTGGGATGCTCTTCAGAGGGCCAGTGTGGACTCAATGGGCTGAATGACCTTCTTCTATACAATAGGGATTCTCTGGTCTGGTGAGCCTGTAACATGGGGTGGGAGCAGTCTCAGAATTAAGGGATGGCCATTCTGGGACTGAGATGTTGTGCCATGACCTTGATGGGAAGAGCACAGGAAATCAAACCCCACTATCTCCTGGGTTTGTCACAAGTGTGAAAATGACCAATTTAGTCACAAGATAAAAGAAACTCACACCAGGTTTCTTAAATAAAAAAGAAGACACAAAAACAAAATTATCCTTTGCCAAGTGGCATAACAGATTATTAATTCCTGAAAGGCAAACTTAAAAGATACCACTTTTAAATCCATGCCACATATTCACTAGCAGAAAG